ATAATAATAATATTAAACACCCTGTCTGCTGACAGTCATCAACTCTTCTCCCTAGTTATCCTTGACCAGATGTACCCTGTAGAAACTCATAAGCATGACTAAGCATTTAACAGCCTAACTAGACATCCTGACTCCACTAAACATTTCTAATACATACAAGTACCTAACCAATATCTAATTGACTAAAAATACCTAACAAAGCCTAAACCACAATTTCTGTACGAATTGCATACAATAAAAGTTTAAAAGCAGTGTCATTGCACACTGTACAATGAAATTTGCTCCTCTAGTGGTTTGTGTAAGGGCTGCACAGACAAACTTGCCATTCATATAAAGACGCAATAGCTAAGATGAGTTAGACATAAGTAAAATACAACTATAAGAATAAATAGTAGCAGCTGGTGTTATTGCAATGTTTTTATCCTAATAAAAGGAGAGAAAATGAGTTGAACTGGTGGATGTACAGAACCAGTGGATCACAGTAATAACAGTTCAAACTCGTGCCTCATCTGTTATTTATTGTCTGCGCTGCTGTACCTGGGCAACGTGTAATTTGATTCAGCTGTATCTGCACATCTAGGTGAATCCAGGCGGGTCAGGAGCAGTGATGAAGTATGGCTTCCCCTCATTGTCCAACATCAAGACCAGAGAGTCCTACGTTACCTCCTATGACCCCCGCACACGTACAGCATCCTGGGTTATCGAGAGGCTAAACCCCGCCTCCCTGAGCGGCCCATCAGACAGGAAGTACTGTGACTTCAAAGAGGACAACAGGTGAGACAAACTGGATGAAGCCAGGTAATAAAAAGGACGACACACAGGACGTAGAATCACAACAACAAAATTTGTGTGAGATGCGCTGTGCCTGGTCAGCGAATGAGAGCAGGTGGCGACAAAAAAATCCAGAGTCCAGATGAACTGTTTAGAAGCCTTCAGTAGGTACAGGACGTCACAGAAACACATCCTGTTAGATCTGATCCCAGTTTAATAAAATGTCTTAAAACCGTTCAGCTTCTCCTCAGGGTCCAAACAGCTGTTGGTTTAATGACGTCCCTCTATACGACAAGGAGAACATGCCGCCCTGTGTTGGTCTCCATACTGTTACTCACATACTGAGTCTGAACGTGTGTCTAGCTGCATTTCTCAGACAAAGCATCATCAGATCAGTTTGCTGCTGTATCTGAGCTGACCAGGCTCGAGTTGATATGAAACTACATAAATACATTCACAGCCATCGATTTGTCAGATATTTAGTCTGCGTCACCTCTGTACAGATGTCACTGAAAGAACCTTCACGTCCCGCTCACCAGCTACTTTTGTGTCACTTAATAATCTACATCACAAATTAAATTTCACATTGCAGAGCAGGACTGTCACAGACTGTCTGCAGCCTGTTGAAACTACGTCATGTCCTGTACTGACTGTGTTCAGCTCCTCTGATAAACATCACCATCAAACACACATTTATTGTTAACATAAACCTTCATAGTGCAAAGACCAACTAATAAAACTCACAATCCCTGCAGTTCTACAAGAAATGATACGTTTCTATAAAACATCATGTTGTTGATCGAGCATCTAAACCAGTGAGCTCTCGTATCAGGTGAGAGACAGGCGTTTTCCATCATGCCTTGATCTCTTGCGGTCTGCAGAGGGCAACGGCGGAGCCTGGCTCCAAAAACTGCAGCCGCCTTGATCCCGCGAGAATATCGTTGACCACCTGGGCGTTATGTCAGAGCAGAATCAATCACCAGCAGTTGGCGCACAATGAATGCCGGTTAGTCATGTCTGACTTGATCCCAACTAGAAGCTGAACAGTTGGGTTCGATAACATTTTATTAAATCGGGATCAGATCTAACGGGATGCGAGCACTGTGACTTATTGTACAGGCCGAAGGCTCATGGAAAGCTCCTAAACTGACTGTGGAGTTTTGTTATTGGCTCCTGCTGCTGCCGCCTGCCCTCGCCCACTGACCAGGTGCAGTGCATCTCGAATGAGCTTAATAAAAATCTGTGGCGTTTCTTTAAACCCCCCCCCAGTGTACACATGTTCCACAGATCGACCAAATAGAGGTCACATGGCTGCAGCAGCCAATCACAAATGGAGCCAGAAAGCCATGGAGGACACCTTCTACCTGAGCAATGTCGCTCCACAGGTAAAACTCATCCCAAAGTAAAAGACCAGCATTGAAGTCCATACGAGTCCACTCTAGACACACTTCTGCTTGTTAATATGGACCTTTCTGCTTTACTTTTCCCTGTTTAGAGGAGGGAGGGGTCACCTTCCTCGCTCGTACACAGCGCTGAGCGTGGATGCGGGTCAGGGCAGTCAGTGCTCCACGGTGCACCAGTCAGCCAGTAACAGAGATTCTAAAAAAAAAACAGCAGAGCACAGATGTGTGAATACGTAACATCCTTACTGCTTGTAGTGCGGTCACTCACTGAAGCCCCCGTTTTACCGCTAAACCAGTGAGCACATTTCCACGCTATGCCCATAATGCCAGTGGTTGAGTTGTGAGGACACCAACTTGTAACCAACCAGGGGCCACAGCTCTGCACCCCCCAGTCCCTCGCGTTCCCAAGGTGAGCTCCAAAGTGTCCGGAGGGCAGCAGAGCCGAGGGAGGAGGTTCCTATAATGGAAAAACCATATTGGTGTGTTTCTGCACGATGTACTGCACTTTGTAGCATAAATGTATATACTATGTATGTTTGTAGAGCTCCGAGACGTCTCTTTGTTAGAACTACGAGTCCAGTCAGGTAAACGGTCTGTCGTCTGGTTCTCCGTGTACATCAAGTTCGGCTCTGAAGTTCTATTGTTGCTTTGTTCACATGCAGCAACTCGGTGAAAAAGGAAACGCATCAACCACAAGTTCATAAAATTGAAATCACACATTAAAGGGCCTTAACTGTGATTAACATTTAATCACAGTTAAGCCCCTTTCACACCAGACGCGAATTTAACGCGCAATTTATTCGCGCGTAAATAATATTTTTCGAACCAATAACTTGTCAATGATACATTGCACACCGCTGACGGAATTTCG